ATTACCAAATAAATTAATCAAATATTTACCAACATCCAAAATAAAAACGATGATGTTCAAAGGCAAGATTATAAGTACATAGGTTAATATAGCAACAGTCGTTTGGATCAACGGGTGAAAAATTGGCGGAATTGTAAAATCCATTATAATAATATTGATGGGATAATGGTAGTAATAGTAGTAGTAGTATCAGTAGAAGAAAAAAACAAAAAGAAAATATTTTTTACTAATTAATATATATATAATTTATTCTGAAAATCGTGCGACAATATAGGATATTAATATGATTCGAAACTACTTTTAGAAAGGAGGGATTGGTTGATGTAAACTACATCAAAAAAGTAGTGGTTTTATTTGCTAAAAGTCCTTTTCATTCATTAATTAATCGGAAAAGTAATTGTTTGCTAAGTAATGTATTCTTTGTCTTCACAGCAAAAAAAAAAGAGAAAAATAAAGCACAAGTTAAAAAGTTGCAAGAGGAAAAACGAAAGTAGAAAGGTTTACGACATTGGAAAGAAATAGATACATTCATTGATCTCCAAGTCAATTTTTACACAAAAAAAAAAAAATAAACAGTTGCAATTTAACATCTCTCGAAAATAGAGAATTCCCTTCCCCAAAAATCAAGTTTAACAAAAGGTGATTTTTAACATCTCCATCAACACGCCATATCGACTTCTCTCTTCCCTTCTCAGCATGATCACACCACGATCAATAGAGAGTATTATCACAACGCAATCAACTTCGTAAAACTGCGACTTCTTTTTATATAAATTAACCTGAAATAGAGATTAAATGTTGCAGTAGAAAATTCGTACAACATTGAAAATGACGATGGTAATAGTAATGAGAATGAAACCAGTGGTAATGAGAATTGTGACACAATAAATTATTTCTATTTTCTATTTTGTCATTCATTAGTTTTCAAAATACCATCTTTACTTTTATATATCATTGATTTTCACAACCTGCATGATATTTATAATCTTTTTCTCAATAAAGGGAAAAATGTAGCCGAAAAATATAATACGTAAATCAATAGAAAAAAATTTTATTTTTTTGAAATTACCACCCAGCGAAAGCAAAATTCTTTCCAAAAAAATTAGGTTTGAAAAACAAAGATTTTCCTGATCACGCTCGCATTGCATTGCTTTGCAATTCAATTCGAAAAGAAGCATTGAACATAGTAGAAATTTGTTGCGGTCATAGTGAATGTTTTTGTAATAAAAAGTAGACGATAAACTGGATTTCAATTTGATCTCAATTTGATCTCCATCTTAGAGAGGTGAGAATTATATTGGCAATAGCGGATTTCTTGTCACAACGGATTTTTTTTGGCTGGTCCCGTGACGAGGTTTGACTGTACCACAAATAAGAAAAATTTTTTTTTTAAAATAAATATTAAAAATTTAAAATGTCCACCGCTGAAGACAGAAGAGAACTAGTAATTAAAAGTTGTAATGAAATGAATGGTATTGCTTATTCTAATTATCCAACTACTTCTAATTCTGACAGAGAAAATAGGAAAAGTCATTTTTTAAAATTAGTCAAAGAAAACAAAGAACTATCAGAAAATGAAAAGGAATATTGTAGAGAAAGGTTTATTCATGGTTTTGAATTAATGAATGCAATTTATAAATATGGTGAATCAAGAGAATGCAATAATTGTAAAACAACAAGATACTCTGATAAATATTGTGAAAAGTGTATTAGTTTACACTTACAGAGCCTTTTCAGTACTTGGACATCTGGAAATGAGATAATTGACAGTTTTATTCAAAAATGTCAACAGCTTTCATCTCTTCCATCTCGAATTATAGAATGGGTACCTTATGAGCAATTTTATTATGTAGAAAAGTTAACAGAGGGTGGATTCAGTTCTATTTATACTGCTGTGTGGACAAGAGGATATATTGATGATTACAATGAAAATAAAAAGGAGTTTAGTCATTTTGGAAGTCACTATGTTGTATTAAAATCATTAAATAATTCAAGTAATCCAGGAAAACCTTTTTTTGATGAGGTAATTGATCTTATTTAAAATAAACTAATTTAAACCATTTATTTAAATTAATTAATTTATTTATATGATTAATTTCAGGCATTGAATTATTGTAAAATTAAATCAGCCTCAATTGTTAATTGTCATGGTATAACTAAATTCCCAGAAAATGGAAATTATGCAATGGTCCTTGCTTATGTGCAAAATGGAAGTTTAAGAGATTATATACAAAAAAATCATTGCAATTTAACATTAAATGATAGAATTAATATTTTTAGAAGTTTATGTGAAGCATTATATAATATACATGACAAAGATTTAATTCATTGTGATTTACATAGTGGTAATATATTAATAAGCGGAAATGCTTGTTATATCACAGATTTTGGATTATGTGGACCAGTTGATGAAAAATTATCAGATAAAATTTATGGGATTGTATCATATATTGCACCAGAGTTATTTAAAGGAAAAAAATACACAAAAGAATCAGATATTTATAGTGTTGGGATGTTAATGTGGGAAATATTTGCAGGTCATCCACCATTTGATGATAAAGCTCATAGTTGTGAATTAATGTCTAATATATGTGCAGGTTTACGACCATCAATATTACCAGGAATGCCTAGTGATTATGCACAAATGATGCAAAGGTGTTGGGATGTGGACCCAGCCAAGAGACCAACTATTGGTGAGCTTTCAGATTTTGCTGATGGTCTAGTAGATGAAATTATCAATAATAATCATGATAATAATAGTATTAGTATTAGCGGTGGTGATTCACAACAAGTGCATAAATCACATCCATTAGCATATCACTCAAGTAGGATATTAAATGATGAATTTGCTAAATTGAGTTTAGGTAATGATAGCTTATTAAATTACGAAATATAATTTTAATAAGGTATTAAATTAATTGAAGTTATTAATTTAAATATAATTATTTATTAATTAATTATAATGATGATAATAATAATAATTAGTTGATAAGGTTAAGGTTGGGGAATTGGGTGAATTTATCTTTTATATTTATTATTTAATTTTTCATTATTATTTCTAAAAGCTTGAAAATAACTTGATTAATTTCTCTGCATGTTTTTATAATTGAATAATTGTCAAAAGCTAAAATTATCTCAATCAAATGTTAAATGTAAAATGAACAATACTACATTTCATTTTTGAAATGTATTAATTATTGTTGTGTCCCAGGTGATTGATTACTTTGTTTTTGAAATTAATTCATCATTTAATGTCCAATATCAAGAGATCTGAAAATAATGAGTATGATGAGGATGGATAATATAAAGTTTAACTGAACTTGAATCAAATATTTAAATGAAACAAGGAAAAAATGGTCTCCCAATCTGAAAAATGCATTTGGATTTACTTTTTTGCTTTATACTATATTCAATATGTTTGCTGTAAGAAACATCAAAGATACTGCTGCATACAAAGAATTCCAAATGATCTATTAAAGTACATTGGTTCATTCGAAGAGAAGATTGTAATATCACACAAATTAGGAAGGTGAAAATTATGACAAGAGAAACAATTGGGCAAAATTAAGCATCTGTGATATTGATATTAATATGTTAAAGGAATACGAAAACAAAATTTAGATTCTTATCAATAATGGTTTTGATTTGCAAAAAATACACAAATTTTTTTTTATTTTTTTTTTATTAAAAAGTTAAAATGTCTTTCGCAGAGTTATTAACACCAGACAGAAGAGAACTAATATATAAATTTCATAATGAAATGAATGGTATTGCTCATTCTGCTTTTCCAACTAATTCTAATTCTGACAATGAAAATAGAATAAGTTATTTTTTCCGTTTAGTCAAAGAAAACCAAGAACTATCAGAAAATGAAAAGGAATATTGTAGAGAAAGGTTTATTTATAATTTTGAATTAAAAAATGCCATTTATAAATATGGTAAACCAAGAGAATGCAATAATTGTAAAACAACAAGATACTCTGATAAATATTGTGAGAAGTGTATTAGTCTACACTTACAGAGCCTTTTCAGTACTTGGACATCTGGAAATGAGATAATTGATGGTTTTATTCAAAAATGTCAACAGCTTTCATCTCTTCCACAGTGTATTATAGAATGGATACCTTATGAACAATTTTATGATGTAGAAAAGTTAACAGAGGGTGGATTCAGTTCTATTTATAATGCTGGGTGGACAAGAGGATATATTGATGATTATAATGAAAATAAAAAGGAGTTTAGTTATTTTGGAAGTCAGGATGTTGTATTAAAATCATTAAATAATTCAAGTAATCCAGGAAAACCTTTTTTTGATGAGGTAATTGATCTTATTTAATTATACTATTTATATTAAATCAATTAATTTATTTATATAATTAATTTCAGGCATTGAATTATTGTAAAATTAAATCAAACTCAATTATTCCTTGTCATGGTATGACTAAATTCCCAGAAAATGGAAATTATGCAATGGTTCTTAATTATAATTCAGAAGGAAATTTAAGAGATTACATACAAAAAAATCATTATAATTTAACATTAAAAGATAGAATTAATATTTTTGATGGTTTATGTGAAGCATTATATTGGATTCATGAAAAAGATTTAATTCATTGTGATTTACATAGTGGTAATATATTATTGCAAGGAGGTGCTTGTTATATCACAGATTTTGGATTATGTGGACCAGTTGATGAAAAATCATCAAATAAAATTTATGGGATTGTATCATATATTGCACCAGAACTATTTAAAGGTAAAAAACACACAAAAGAAACAGATATTTATAGTGTTGGGATGTTAATGTGGGAAATATTTGCAGGTCATTCACCATTTGATGATAAAGCTCATAATTACGACTTAATGTTTAATATATGTGCAGGTTTACGACCACCAATATTATCAGGAATGCCTGATGATTATGCACAAATGATGAAAAGGTGTTGGGATGTGGACCCAGCCAAGAGACCACCTATTGGTGAGCTTTTGGAATTTGCTAATAATCAACAAAAAAAAATTATCAATAATAATCATAATAATAATAGTATTAGTAATAGTAGTGGTGATTCACAACAAGTACACAAATCACATCCATTAGCATATCACACAAGTAGAATATTAAATGATGAATTTGCTAAATTGAA